ATTTTTAATAGCTTGCCAAGACACAGGGAGATGGAGCGCACAGGAAAAATGAATTACGTTTTTATTATGTGTTTTATTGTGGTGTAATTGAACGGGATTATCTGAGAACACAATATATTTCCAGAGCAGTGCAAAGAAAACAAAAATAATGATGACACCTGCCTCCTCCCACACACACCACCAGGCTGCGTGGGGACACCCTCCATGTGTGCACTGGCTGGGAGCTGGCCCTGAGCTGCTTGTGGCCACAAGAGGCAGAGGTGGGAATGGGAGGGACATGGGACCACAGGCGGAGGGACTTGGGGTGGCTGGGTCTGGGTGAATGGCCAGGCAGGGGCTGGGCTCACCCCAAGAGCCCCCAGAGCTGTGGGGATGGGATACATGGCAGGGTGGCATGGCAGTACTTGGCCACACGGAACCACTGCACATCTTTCACCAGTCCCCATATTCCCAGCTGCTTTTACCCCATCCCTGAGATCCCCTTGGTCTGTACCCCACCTGCATAAGCTGGCGTTGCTAGGCTGAGACATGACAAATTTACCTCTAGTGGGCTGCAGGTCTGGCATGCTGCCCTGCAAACCAGCCATGGTGTCTGTCTTCTCCTGGAACTGGCAGCACTGCAGTGAGCGCCCACAGACTCAGTCACTTCACTGTGCCAGGAGGGACCTGTTTCCGTGGGTGTCCTGGCTGGGGGCAGAGAAAACTCACTTGGCCAGTGAGTTCTGGGGGGCTGACAAGCCCAAAGGTGACAGTGCTGCCTCTGCAGGGGAGCCCAGGATGCAGCAGTGGATGCAGGGGAGCAAGGATGCTCAGTCCTTTCCCAAGATGGCTCATCACAGAGGTCAAGGGCCAGTCCCAGAAAGGCAGCAGCTGGATGTCACCAGGGGTGCTGGGGGTGTTGGGTGGCGCTGGGCTAGGGACATCGATTGGTCCCTGGCATCTTTAATGAGCTGCCCGACCACAAGCTTTAACCTTGCCCATAATGAGGGCGAGCAGCAGCAATTCCTACCGCCTCAGCCGGCTCCCCCAGCCTTAATGAGCTAATCAATACTTGTTCTCAGCTTAATTTCCAGCTAATTGCTCTTTAATGACGCCTGGAAATGGGCAGCCTCTTGTAGGGGGGGAGCGGGCAGACTCCCCCTCCCCAGTGCCCATCCCCAGTGGCAGGGGGTGCTGGGGCACTGGTGGTGGGTCACTTTCCCTGGCTGCATCCCAGCCCTGCTGGCGCTGCTGGAGGCTGGGGAAAGGGAGGGTGGCAAAGTGAACAGCGGGCACGGTGCCACTGAGCTGGCAGCACCCTCTGGAGCACCCCGTCTGGGGAGTCCATGGAGCCCTGAGCACACAGGGCAGCCTGAACAGAGGATCTCCACATCCCAGGAGGGTACCCAAACCCCTCAGGACACTACATTGCGGTGGGGGCTTCCAGGCTCTGCTCGTGGCGGGGCTTTTAGCGTTCAGGGGGATGGGGGGTGGAGCTGAGGTGTCCATGCATTGCCCCAGGATCTGCAGCCTCCAGCTACAGGGTCAGTGTCACCGCAAGGGGACGAGGCCGAGGCCAGCAGTGCCCTGGAGGTGGCAGCAGAGACCCCGCAGACTCTTGCCCGCACCCCTGTGCGGGGTAGCCCCGCGGGCAGGACCCGGGGTAGTCAGGGACTGCGGGGAGCGATGCGGGGTCGGGGTGCGGGGGGAGCCAGGCGGGTCACGGGGCGGTGGGACCCGCTCTTACGTGGCACCGTGCCAGCACGGGGATATCCCCCGGGAATGCAGCCTCCGCCGCCTCTTCGGTTCCAGGCCCCGAGTTATATGACCTGCGCTTGGATGAGAAAGCCCCACGAAAGCGGCGGGATTCCTCCGAGGAAAGAGCTGATAGAGCTGGCCGGGGACGCCGGGCAGACTGGGGACCAGAGTGTCCCTTACCACTTCGCCATCGCGCCTCGGGGCCGCCTGAGAGCCCCCGGCCCCTGCACACAGCTGCAACTGCTTCCCCAAGAATTTGCTGACGGATTAGTTCTTCAGAGGAATTCGCTCTGGAAAAGCCTAGAGAAACCTGAGCCTGGCTGCTTCCCAGCGTGGGTTTGGCCTGGCATGCAGATGGGGGGACCTGCCTGCTGCCCATCCCTTTTCCCTGCAGTGGAGCCCCAGAATGTGGCTTGGGACCCCTCGAGAGCTGCGCAGCCTTGGTGTGGGCTGGCCAGAACCGGGCTGTGTCAGGCTGCTCCAGATGGCAGGAAACAGAGAGGAGCAGCAGTGTTTGATGCAAAATGAGAGAGATTGAGTGTATTATCAGAAGGAGACCCCCTTGGCCCCAGGCAGTGTGCTGGCAGCATTCTGTCCCAGCATCTCCGGTGACATTTGCTTCTGGCATGACACAGGCCCCATTTTCATCCCCACCAGCCCAGCTCTGATGCTGCTCACCAGCCCTGCCTGACATGACGTGCATTGAGTCACTTGGCCCAGAGCTTTTTTTCCACAGTGGATTTTTTTCCTTGGCTTCATCTGCCGTAAGCCCCAGATCCCTGTGGGGTGGTCTGGGAGATCAGCCCAAAGCTGAGGGGAAGCCATGAGCAGTGTGGTACCCCTGATTGGCCGTGATGGCTCTGTCATCAGTGTTTCAATCTGATGACAGAGGTCTGGAGGGATGCCATGGATGTGGGTCTGCCAGGAGCATCCACAGACTCCTGGCTTCAATGGAAGCATCACAAGATGGGAAAACAGTGGTATGGAGTAACCCAGCAGGGAGAAGGAGGAGGCTTTGGTGCTTGAGGCTTAATCTTCAAAGCCCAGTTTCAGAAGCTTCACTGGGCTCAGGAAAAGGGAGGAGAAAGGAGAAATAGACAGCTAGCACAGGTGGGGAGCCAGGAATGCAATTTATCCTGGTGCCTGGCCGTACAGGGCTGTGACCACACTTTTCCCCAGAAAGCTGTGTCAAGCAACACAAGCCCCAAACCCCATTTGCAGCCAGGGGCCGTGTTGATTGACTCAAGGTGTGATTGAGCAGAACTCCTTGTTAAGCACTGGTTTAGACCTTCCACCCCTCATTCATACCTGCTACTGTTCATTAGCACATTCAATAGTCTCATCAAGCAGCAGGTTTAATTACCTGCCAGGTTTGAGCTCCATCTTGTTGAGTTGAGGTGAGCTGAGCTGCCCATGGCTTTCAGGCAGTGGGTTGTGTTGCTCCATGGCTGGAAATGTTCCTGCTCAGATCTGTGTTTGGATTTCACCTCTGGCCAGGGATTCTACATCTGGAGACTTGGCCTCTCCCCACCTTGTGGGCAGCTGATGCTGCAGTGATGCTCAGATGAATCCAGCCACCCAGAGGCCATGGTGACCCCATGAAGACAGGGACATACCAGGTGCTCGAGCCATGGCACATGGCAGAAGGTCCTTCCCCACACGTGTGGAGAAGGACAGCAACATCAGGGCCTGCTCTCCTTGCCCTCCTGCCAAGGGCAAGAGACACAAATAACCAGGGACCATTGATGGCCTTCTTTTCGGTGGTGCCTGGGATTTAAGCACTGGCTCTATTTCTGTGCCAACTAGGAGCTTTGTGGGCAGAAGGTGGCATCTGGGGCCAGGCTTGCCCCACTGCTTTGCCCCCTGGATGGAGCAGGGACAGGTGAGGGTGTGTTTGGTGCAGGGATGCCTGAATGTGCAGGCAGTGCTTCACCCCAAGGTGGGAAAGGTGGCATGGTAGGGATAGCCCTGGAGGCTCAGCACCCCTGTCTGGGTCACCTCCAGTCTGTCTCCTCTCTGCTTAGGCTCTGACCCAGCTCTGGGGGTGCCTGTAGGAAAACCTCAGCTCTTTCTGACTTTTTTCCTGCTCCCAAAACAGCTGCAGCCCCAGCTGCTCAGCAACTCATGGATGCCGGACCTGAAAACCTGTGGCATGTGGGGACTGAACTCCATAGGCTGGGCAAGGGGAGCCAGAGAGGGAGGCAGCCCTGAGCCAAGGGGCTGGGGGCCACAGAGGGGGAGTGGGATGTGAGACTGAAGGCAGAGCTGCCAGGAAACCCCCCTCTGCAGTAGGGGCCTGGAGGGGGGGTTTGGCTGGCAAAGGCGGATTTAGGGGGGCTGAAGCCTGGCGCATTTTCCATCGTTAGACACGGCTGGATTCACAACATGACTGAGTGAAAGCCCTGGAACTCGGAATGAATTTGCAGGAGGGTGTTGGAAAGCAAAAGCAGATTTTTGCAGTGTGGTGGAGGAAACCAGATCCTTAGAGGGGTCCTTCTTTGCTTGAGCTTCACCGGGGAAGTAAATCCTACAAATTCCTTGCCTGGAGGAGAAGACCTGGCTGTGTGATCCCCCGGCATGGCATGTGGAGCAATATGCAAATGTACAGCTTGTTTGTGCTGTAAAGTCACACACTGGCTCCCCCATTCCTCAGAGCCAGGGAAACTGAGGCAGGGAGCAGCAAAGCAGCTTGCTAGGGAGGTCTGGAGCCCCAGCCCTGTGCATGAGGGTTTTGCACTGCTGTGGAGTGCAACATCCCCACCGTTGCTCCCCATAGCTCTGCTCCAGCCAAGGTAATGCCATTGTTTGCTCCCCAATAGCCCCTTCATACCTGCTTCCTGAAATGAGGCAAGTGCAGATACCCCCAGGAATTATCCTCCCATTTACTTACAGCAGCTGCTCTGCCTGTCTTTCCCAACCAAATTACAGGCTGAGAGATGCTTTTGACCACTTCCTTAGCCATGCTCACCCCTCCCATTCACTTGTCCCCAAGGACCCCTGCAAAGTTGGTTTCTGCCACCCATCCCAGTCCCCTACTGCCCCTCGGACGGAGCTGAGCATTAGTCCAGCTGCCGCACACGGCCGGGGGTGACTCCAGCGTGGGGGTCCGCGGGGAGGTGCCGGGGGGCTGGAGCGGCAGAGCCCCGGGGTCAGGGTGCGGTGCGTGTCGGGACCCCGGCAGGGAAGGGGTGCCGGCCAGCCCGTGTCCCGGTCCAGGGACGGGCTGCGGGCCCGGAGAGGGGCGGGGGGATTCACGTTTCGCTGACATCACGGCGGTGCTGGAGCGGCCGGGGGCCAGCAGCCCCGGGGGCCAGCAGCCCCGCCGCCACGGCCACTGCGCACCCGCGGCCACAGGCACCGGCGCCTCCGGTAAGTGGCGGCTGATGGCGGGGTGGCTCCCGGGGGACCCCAGGGGACGCCGTGCCCCTTCCCAGTACTTATCCAGGACCGCCAGTGTCTGCACCCCCAACGTGGGGATCCAGAGACCAACTCTGCAGTTACTCACCACCCTTTCTCTGGCCCCCCACATCCATCGGGGGATGCAGCCTTGCTTCGTACAGACTGGGGTAGAGTGGGACGGGGGGGCCTCCAGCACAGGGACTCCCTGCTCCTTTGCACCTCTGGGGGGCTCGGTGGTCTCAGATAAACGGGTCAGATCTTCACGGTTTGTTATCTGGGGGGTGCATGTATGTAAGCCACTGTTTGGGCCATCCTCCCCACCCCACCCCAGCTCTGGGCTGCGTTAGTGGGGGTTGGTGCAGCTGGGAAGGCTGCAGCCTGCCCCTCGGTGCTGTTTCCAGCAGGAGGGGAGGGGCTAGCCCGTCCACCTGGGTCCCCTCCCTAGCCCCGCTCGCTTATGCTGGGTCACCCTGGGGCAGGGGACTATAATTTCACCCCGTCTCAGGGAAGGCAGCCAGGGTGTAACTGAGAGCAGGGGAAGGATGTTCACAAAGGGGTTTGGTTCATTGTCACCCTCTCTGGGGACAGGCTCTGAGATTCCACATGTCCCCCCCAGCAGAGGTGAGAAGCCTGGGGCAGATCAGCCCCTGCTTACCCTGGGTGGGTAATGCAGGCTTGGGGTTTGGGGACAGGGACCCTGCTGTGCTAGTACAGGCTGACCATACTGAGCACTGGGTCTGCTGTCAGTCCACTGGCTGCCCATCTGTGCACTGAGCTCCTCCATGCTCAGCCTCAGTTGCTTGTGTGATGACTGACAGGGTCACAAAGCCTTCCTGGAGGGATGTTTTTTCCCCTGCTCAACTAAAAAGAGGGGTTACAGTGCAGGGAGGGAAGGAGAACAAAAGCCAGGCATGACTGGGAGCATACTTCCGGCTTGGCTGCCTCCAGCACAAAAAGAGCACCTTGTATGCAGGATCAGGCACTCCGTTGTGCTTGTATGGATGGTGAGGGACGGAAAAAGGGCTTGTGACTCTTGAAAACTGATGGGTAAAGAAAAAGGGAATGAGAGCAGCTTCCTGAGAGGAGGTGAGGAGCAGGGTACAAACCAGCTGAGCCATAATGATGTAGAGCAGCCTGTCCAGTGCCCTGCCAGCCTTGTGGCTCCTCAGGCCACGCTGGGGTCAGAGAAGGCTGGACTTTGCATGCTGGTCTGCCAGGGAAGAAGAATGAAACCTGGTGGGGCTGGGGTCAGCAACCTCATCTGATCAGAAGTTGTACAGCATCTCAGGGCAGGAGCTGGTTGGGGAGCTCCAGGGTGTGAAGGATGTGGCTGCGGTGCTGGGGGTGAGAGGGGTGGGACCAACCCTCCCCTGCACATCAAGCATCACTGCCACTCAGGGCAAGCCAGCCAGGAGCCAAAGGCGTGGGAGACTCTTTCTGCACCAGTAACACACTTCCTCCCTCCTCACAGGCCAGGATGGCTCCTCAGATCTAGACAGGGAGGCCAGAAAAGTGCCAGAGATACCCATCCAAGTGACAGTGGGACTGGGATAGTGGAGCTATCATGAGGATGTCTGAAGCCAAACTCCTCAGCTCCTCTTGCCTCATGCTTTCCTTGCTCTCCTTGCACTGGGCTTTGCTCCAGCTGGGCCAGGCTTTTCCCAGCACCTCTGACTACCTCCAGCGGGGCTGGCAACGGCTGCTGGAGGAAGGGGAGGGCTGCGCCGAGTGCCGGCCAGAGGAGTGCCCGACACCGCGCGGGTGCCTGGCTGGCACGGTGCGGGATGCCTGTGACTGCTGCTGGGAATGTGCCAACCTGGAGGGACAGATCTGCGACCTGGACAACACCAACCACTTCTACGGCAAGTGTGGGGAGCACATGGAGTGCCGGCTGGATGCTGGGGACTTGCGTCATGGAGAGGTGCCCGAGCCCCAGTGTGCCTGCCTCTCCCACCTGGCCCTCTGCGGCTCCGATGGAAAAACCTATGCCCAGATCTGCAGGTTCCTGGAGGTTGCCCATGCCCACCCTGATGCCAACCTCACCGTGGCCCACGAGGGTCCCTGCGAGTCAGGTAGTGCCCCTGGAGCTGCAGGATGGATGGAGACTTGTACCTCTAGGGAATAGACGAGCAAGGGGGTCTGGCTTAACTGTTTCTCCTGACAGCAAACCCGCAGCATCCACAGGGATATGGCAGCACTGGGGGCTGCTCCATACAGTGTCAGGGCTCCCCTAGTCCTCCCATCCTGCTGCTCCAGGGCAGCCTCTGCAGATGAAGCTCTTGGAGAGGTCTGGGAGCAGCTTTGCCAAGAGGGAGTGGGGTTTATGGGAAGCAATGAATCCTGCTGGAGCAGATGGGGAAGTTCCAGGGAATTGTTAGCGAATTCTTGGCGGCAGTGCTGGGTTCACACTGGCCTGTTGCTCCTGAGAAATGCTCCTGCCTCTTGCAAATGGAAACCTGGGTCCGTTTGACGTGGCTGTGTGATTTCCATCTCCCATTTAAGACTTAGCTAGGGGCTGAGAGGGGACAGACTGGTAGGGAGGCTGTGTCCCAGCCTGCCCAGTCTGGCACAGGTCACCCAGTGCTGTCACCACAGCCTGAGGAGTGTCAAGCTTGACTTTATTTTCTGTAGATCATCATATTCTTGAGTTTTTCCCAGGCGTATTTGGAGGGGAAGACTCCCCTTGACCTCTGGCTCATGCTATGGGCCAGATTGTGGAACAGATGTAGGTTGGAAGGGTAGTCCTCACTCTACCTCTCCAGGGAAGGGATGTGGAACCTGGAGATGTTGGCTTCGTCCAGCAGCTGGGGACCTGCTGACTCCCTTCATTGCTGGCATTAGCCGTGTCAGAGCAGAGGCCTTATTTGGCTGGAAGCTCACCTACCTCATCCATCCCCAGCAGCCTTGGGCTGGATGCACACCCCAATGGGCTGGGGAGGGAGTCCCCAGTCCCAGCTGTGAGGAGCGACCATGTTCTGGGGAAAGGTGAGAGTCTGCCATGGGTGGGAGAGGAGGGGCATGGGAAGGGTCCCAGCATCTCTACATGAACCAAATGCTGCTGCCCAAGAGACCAGCCCAGGAGAGCCCGTGGAGCCTGCCAAGGGTGGAACCTCTTCTGAGCCCACCCCGCTCTCCTGTACCCCCCTCCCCAGAGCCCCAGATCACCTCTCCTCCCTATGACACGTGGAACATCACCGGGCAGGACGTCATCTTTGGCTGCGAGGTCTTCGCCTACCCCATGGCATCCATCGAGTGGAGGAAGGATGGCACAGACATGCTGCTGCCTGGAGATGACCCCCACATCTCTGTCCAGGTGAGTGGTGTGCCTAGGGCATTGAACACGGGCCAGGGGTGACCCAGTGCTTCTCAGAGCTCATGGACAACCAGACCTGACAGTGGTCATACTCAGGGGATGGCCAAGCCTGGCTGCCTGGGAATGGGAAGGGGTGACTGGAGGCTGCATACAATGAGGACTGGCTGAGCCAGGGCTGGTGTCTTGGTGATAGGAGCCATCAGCGTAGCTCTCTTCTGCAATTTCCTCTAGTAGTTTTTGAACTTGTTCATATTTTTTAGGACCTGCAGAGTCCTGCAGCAGGGAGTTTCTCACCTCCCTGCCTTTAGTTTGCTCTGCTTGCTGGCTTCATTTGCAAACCTACTGGCAGAGCTAGAGAAGAGGCCCTCCTGAGTGCCTTCCAGCCTGGGTTATCCTCTAGTCCTACAAGCACATCCAGGCAGTCCCTGCCCTTTTTTTCACATCAGCAGGACTCCCCTCCCAGAGCTGACAGGCCCAGGGGTCAGCATCCTGCCTGTGGCCAGCCCCAAATATAGTGCCCAGCTGGGCACACCTAGCTATTAGAGGGTGTGGGCAGAGGCATAGGGGCTGTCCACCTCAGCCAGGCACCAATGGGGAGGAAACTATGGTGGGATGGATGCGGGAAGCCAGGGGAGCTGGTGGAACCTGGCACCATTGTGGTGTGACATGCTGCTCCCCTTCCATCTCTCTGCCCCTCAAGCCTCCCCACAGCCTGTTGCAGGGTCCAACCAAGCCTCTCCACCCCAAGCAGGGCTACCCTGTCTGGTTGGAGGAGACTCTACTATCCTCCACCCCTGGCCACTGCACCATAATAGCAGCCTGCAAACACAGCTGCAGCCCAGCTGGGTCAGGAAAAGCCTATTTATTCCTGTGGATAAACAGAAAATAGCATGGTTGCTGCCAGAGCAATCCTGGGACCTCACTGCCTGCCAAAACAGGGGACTCGGGACTCTGTGGCACAGATGCCCCCTTGTTTCTGCCACAAGTGCTCACCAAAATCCCTCCTTCTTGCAGTTCAGAGGTGGCCCTCAGAAATATGAAGTGACAGGCTGGCTCCAGATTCAGGGTGTGCGGGTGACGGACGAGGGCACGTACCGCTGCTTTGCCAGGAACAGCGTCGGGGAGGTGGTGGCAGTTGCCAGCCTGACTGTCTTCACGCCAGGTGAGCACCGTGTCCTTGTCCCCATGCTCTTATGGGGATGAGGGAAGGGATGCCTGGGCCGAGTGCAGCGGTACAGCGGGAGCTGTTGGAGCACAGGGCTGTGCTGGGGATGCCCCAGCAAGCTGCTGTGCATGGTTTGGCTCTGGTCCTTGTGGGGAAGGAGACAGGTACTGTAGGGCGGCAATGTCACATTGTCCCTGTGCTGCTGTTTCAGACCAACTCAACCTGACAGGCTTTTCCCTGCCGAAGGCCCATGTGACACCCGAGGACTACGGGGACAGTGAGGAGGACTACTACTAGCCCAGAGACAGGATGTCTGGCTGCAGGGATCACCTTGCCCACAATCACGGTTCCTGTGTGTTGGGGACATCTCTGGAGCAAGCACCCTCTAGCCCAAAACTTCTTCTCTGAACAATCCTGGCACACCAGCCTGTTTTTTGGGGTGGGGGATAGGGTGACACATCGTTTTGGGGTGCTTGGGGAGGGGATACTGGCTGGTTGGTGGCACAGGGCTGGGACCAGGGGCAGCTCTGCCTGGAGCAGGGTGGGTCTGTCCTCTGGCACTGAGTGGAGACACGGTGGCAGTTGGGACACTGCAGGGACAGCTGTGCTGTGTGTGATGAGAACTTCGTGCCAGGGGTGGAGACAGCTCCCTTTGGGAGAGTGAGGGCAAGGCAGGGGCATCACTGCCCTGTAAAAAGCATTTTTGGGGAAGCTGGAGCAGAGGGTTAGGACCTGGCTGTGATATCCAGTGTGACACCCCCATGTCTGTTCTGTATTGCTTGAGCACAGAGACAGCCCGGCTTCTCCCCAGGATTTAAGGAACCTGCTGCCAAAACATCCTTCTCTTCTGTTTTGTTTTTAACCAGAAAAGTAGTGATTTGAGGAAACCAGACACTTGTGGCTTTCAGTGCTGTCTTTTCTCCAGCCCAACTACCCCTGTGGTCAGAAACACTTTGGCCTTTTTTGACTGACTTCATGCTTTCCCTTCCATGAAGCTCTTTTTTTTGCCGTTTCAGTTAATGTTATTTAAAATATGCACGTAGGTCAAAGCCAAGAGGCCAATTGGCTGTCCTACATCCACAGGGATGATTATGGGGGTGAGGGAAGGTGCAAACACTGTGGATGCTACCTTGTCCATTGTGGGGGTCCTTGAGGCGAGGAGCCCTCCTGCCCATTCTGGTGCTCATAGCTGGTCCTGGTGTGGGTCCTGCCCTTCTCACCCCACATGGGGATGGGGGTGCCATCTCCTGTGCAGTGGGGATGCATCAAGCCATGTAATTGTACCCCCATCAGTTTGGATCCTGTCCTACTGCTGCCCATTTTCATCTTGGGGTCCTAGGTTCTGTGACACTGGGGTCTCCATCAAGGTGACCACAGCCCTGTCAGTATGGAGCAGCTCTGTGCCTAGGTGTGGAAGGACAGGGAGGCACCAGTTTCTACTGGAAATGCTATCTTTAAAAAAAAAAATCCCACCTACCTCCCAGAGCTGGTTATTTAGAGCAAACTTTCATTTGTGGGAAGCATGGGAAGGAAGCTCAGAGCTGCACTGTGCTGCTCTGTGCCCAGAAAGGGCTGTCAGGACCCCTTCCATGGGAATTCTAGGGCTGAGCTCACACTCAAGGGATGATTTTCTCCCCAAACCAGCAGCATATACAGGACTTCTGGGGCTCAAAACCTCCATATGGACTAAACCACTCTCAGTTACTCAGTCCCAGCTCCAGGGAGGTCCAGAGCTGTGGGCTGAGGCAGGAAGCCAGATCCCATGAGGAAGGAGTTGGCCAGTCCCCAGGCAGGAGCAGGCAGGATGCAATGAGGCTGGTGGCTAGGGCACCACACTACTCTCCTTCACTTGTTTTTTCTTTTCTTTTCTTCCTCTTTCTCTTGAGAGCTGGCTCAGACGACTCAATTACAGCACTGAAACCTGAACAAGCAAATAAAAGGTATTTGTCTGGAGTTGGCAGCAGAGCAAAAATTCCTGCAGACGGTGAGGCTGGGCCAGCCCTGGCCCCTGCACCGCAGCTTGACAGGGCACAGCCGTCAGCATTGCTGCCCTGCCTGCTGGAGTGCCTGCCCTCTCTGGTAGCAAATCCTTTTTCAGCTGGGGAAATGCAAAAGCCGCCCATGTCTCAGTTTCGCCTTCCCTCTAACAGCGTAACAGCATCCTCCTGGGGCTGCTATGTCAGAGCTGGAGGGTGTTCAGGAAGGACCAGGGACACTAATGTGCCATTGATTTTTATTTTGCTTTTTTTGAGTGTAAAATCTGCTTTTGGAGAAGCTGGGCCGGTTTTACCCATCCTGATCTCCTCCCTGTTTCGCACACAAATCAGCTGGTGGAATTGGGCCATGCTCAGGCTGAGGCTGCCATGGGGAAATCTGAGAGCGTCCCAGAGCTTCAGCAGGCAGAAGCTGCTCACTGGGCTCCCCGTCGGTGCCTGGGGCTGGCCCCTGGCCAAGGCTGCCATGCCAACCCTCCTCAGGGCCAGGCTCACCCTGTCCCTGTCGGCACAAATCCAGGTCGTGCGGGGTGTGGATGCAGCAGTGGGCTGGCTGGGGAGCGTCATGTGGGCCGTGCCCCCATCCCTGGCTCTCCATATGCTCTGTGGGACGATGCCATGCATGGGCATCTGCATTTTGTTCTCAGTCCTTGCCATTCTCAGCTTCACACCTTGTCCCTGTGGTACCCTGGCAGGGAATGCTGTTGGCTCTGCAGGAAGGGCAACAGGGATGTAGTGACTGAGAGAGGGGGAAACTTGAGCAAGAGCCCTTGGCCAAAATTAACCAAGCCAGGGGCTGTGTCTCCCTGTTTCCTCAGACCCCAGTGTGGGAGAGGGCTGTCTGACTGGCAGGCTGGAGCTCAGCCAGTATCTGGGCTCTGCTCCCCCCAGGATGAGAGGTAGCAAAGTGGCTCCAGGGGCATAGAAGGGGGCTGGTGTCCCCTCATCCCAGCTCCCAGTCTTGCCATTTTCAGCCACTTAAAAATTAAAGGAGCCAATATTGCTGCACGGCTGGAATCGGTCACTGCCACAGAGCTTAATTGAGGTTATTTGTTGACTCTAGAACATTTGGTCACCTCTGCTGCTGGCTGCTCGGATATTTCCTGCAGCCCCTGCCCCAGCGAGGGGGTGTCCTCCCAGGCTCTGCAGATGCTGTCCTCAGCTCCAGGAATGTGGAGGGTCCTGTGGACCTGACCAAACCTGGTGCCCATGTGGGGACAGAGAGCGTGCCCCAACAGGATGCAGCACCAAATTCCTTTGCAGGCCAATTTTTGGGGTGGTTGCTTTCTGGGGACAGAGGGGACTGAGTGGCTCCTGCCAGCCCAGTGCCTGCACTCAGCCCAGGGACAAGGTCAGGTGGACTGGGAAGTGCTAACATGGCCATAGGATCGGGGCACACACCTGCACAGGCACCTCCTGGGATGAGCAGGGTGTGGGTACCTCCCAGGGCACCACAGGTCACTGTGAGCCTGTGTACAAAGAAAGAGGGGCTTATCCTGCCAGCACCTGAAAGACCCTGAAGATACACATTAATGGAGCCAAAACTGTGTGGTTAAAAACTGCCCTGCCACCATCAAGCATTTTGGCCACCCCCATTGTGGATTCACAGCTCTGGGTGCTTGGGGGAAATTCAGGTAAAACAGCCCCCCCAGCCTCCAAAACAGCTGCTTTCTGCCCCAAAGCTGCAGTTGGGTTGCACCCAGCCCCTGCTCCAGGCTGGTGGGGCTTCAGCACTTCCCACCACTCCAGCCTTCAGTGCAGGGGTGCCAGCCAGGACCCCGGATCACTCCAGAAACCACCATGGGCCAGAAGATGGTTGGTGGCTGACCCAGAGATGGATGACCTGAAACAACTGGTGCCTTCCTCATCTTTACACCCCCTCAGTGCTGCCCAGCACTCACCTGGAAGCAGAACTCTGAGCAGTTACCAAGCCACAGGGTTTGGTGGTCTGCAGGGAAACTCCACCAAGTTTGGCAGGTAAATATGCTCCAGTAGCAAACACAGGCTGTCTTGTCCTTCCCTTTCCTTGGAGGTGCTGAGACCTGCCCCTGTCTGGGCCTGGGCAGGAGGCACACAGAATAATAAAATGGTTTGGGTTGTAAGGGACCTTATCATCTAGTTCCAACCGTCCTGCCACGGGCAGGGACACCTTCCACTAGACCAGGTTGCTCAGGGCCCCATCCAGATTGGTCTTGAACACTTGCAGGAATGGGGAGTCCACAGATTCTCTGGGCAACCTGTTGCCAGTGCCTCACAACCCTCACAGGAAAGAATTTCCAGGCACATGGTGTGATTCTTGGGCATGTGCTGTGCAGGGTCAAACTTGGACTTGATGTTCCTTGTGGGTACCTTACAACTCAGAATATTGTGTGATTCTGTGATTCTTCTCAATACCTAATCTAAACCTACTCTCTTTCAGTTTAAAACCATTCCCCCCTGTCCTGTCACTACATGCCTGTGTCAAAAAGTCCCTCTCCAGATTTCTTGTAGCCCCTTTAGGTACTGGAAAGTGCTCCAAGGTCTCCCTGGAGACTTCTCCAGGCTGGACAGGCCCAACTCTCTCAGCATGTTTCCAGCCCTCTGAGCATCTTCATGGCCCTCCTCTGGACTCCTTCCAGAAAGTCCATGTCCTTCTTATGTTGAGAGCTGCAGAGCTGGACGCAGCACTCCAGCTGGGATCTTGTAAGAGCAGAGTAGAGGGGTAGAATCACCTCCCTCGACCTGCTGGTCACACTTCCTGTGGTGCATCCAAGCCTCCATCCCAGAGTCCAGATTTGGGCCACCACTGTGATTAGCCGTTAAACAGTGCCATCTCCTGGCAAAGCCACTGGCCACGCCAAGCCCTGCCACCGTGCTGGGCAGCCAGCAAAGGTATGTGGGGCCTTGGGCATCTCTGGAGCACCCCGACCCCCCAAATCCAGCCCTACCTCATCCATGCCCTGCCCTGCCCCAGCAGCATCTCTGCATTGCTGGGAGGGGTGATGCCACTGCAGTATGAAACTATCTCTTGGGATGATCACCAGAGCCAGAGCATCCTCTTGACACTGGTTTTGGGTAGCTTCAGCAGGCACAGCTGGGATGGGGCAGAGACTGGAGATGTTCAGCTGCAGTCCCTGGGTGTCTGCTTTGAACTAGGGTTGCAAAAGGGTCAATACCCCTTGTGACCACCCTGACAGTCCCCCTGTGCCACGAGCATCTCCCATGGGAGATCAATGGCTTCTGGCAGAGGCTTGTCCAGCCTGAGCTGATCACTGGTCATGCCTGGATGGAAGCTGGCAGCACTGCAATCTTGCTCTGCAAAGGAGCAACCAAGTGTGGGGAGCTCAACCAGAGCCAGAGAGACCTTCAGGGCAGAGCAGCAGCTACCCACAGGACTTCTCTCCCTAACCTGTCCCTAGCCTGTCCCCATCCCTGTGGGAGGGTGGTATTTTCCCTTGTGTTCTCTGCACAGCACCTTTTCACCCTGCTGTAGTGGCTCAGGGAGAAAATAAAAAGAGCAAGACAGCTTCCCTGCCTCCACCCAGCACTTATGCCACCTGATAAACAAAATGGAAATAAATCCTCCTGCGTTTGCAGCAAATAGGTCTCCATGGGGGGTTGCTTTCAATAATTCAAATGCTGTTGCAGAGCAGAGCAGAGCCCACGCCAATGGGTTTTAATAAACACAGCCATAATGTGACATGCAATTTATTATTAAGCTTAAAACAGGAAGGAAAGAGTTTAATAAAAGCACCAGGTTCCCTGTATCAGTCACAGTAAGTGGTGGGGTCCTAGCTGTGGGGGGAGGTTGGCCAAGCTTGCTGCAGGGGCATGCAGAGCCGGGTTTGCTTTTCCACACGCCCCTCAAGTTGAGACTGCAGGAACCCCAGGCAGCGCATGGAGATGTGAGCCAGACTGGGGGGGAATGGGGATCATTACATGGACAAGGGTAAGGTGTGAAATGCTGCTCCCTATACAGCTTCCCAGCCATCCAGGGAAGAGCTCTGCCTTGGCATCGCAGCGTGTTTGCAATGGCAGATTAAAGCCTCAGGTTTAGTCCCTCTCCTCAAAACTTTCTCACCCACAACCCTTCCTAACTTAGCTCCACCTGGGCAGCCCCATCCTGCTCTGCCCTTACCACCCCTGGGCTGCCTTTAAAGGCAGGGAGAGGGGACAGCTGACCCTCCTGGGGATAGTGAGGCTGTGTAAGGTGAGGTGCTGCAAGGCATGGGGAGCAGCTGGTAGCTGGCCCTGCAGCATGTGTGCTGCCTGCTGGGCTGCATGGCTGGCCTTTCAAGCCATGGATTTGCTCATGGGCTGGTGGAAAGCAGGAACTCATGAGGGAGGTGGCTTTGCTGAGGGATGAAAGTGGTCCAGCTATGTCTGGAGGCATCTCTGTGTACGGGTGAGGGGTGAAGGAGGTTGCAGCATTCCATATTCATTATCTAGCAGGAGCAGGATGCTGCTTTCTCACTGTGCCTGCTGTAGGCTTCCCTGGACACTTGAATGTTGAGACTTCCCCTAGGGATGTGGCTTTTTTTGCCTCCTCTCCTTGGTCTTGCATCCTGGCAGTGCCCTGTCTTTTT